TGTGTCTCTGTGTCACATTTTGGTAATTCTTACATTTCAAACTTTTTCATTATTACCATATTTGTTATGGTGATCTGTGATCAGTGATTACAACTTCTGAAAGCTCAGATGATAGTTGTTTGTTTGTTTGTTTGTTTGTTTTTTAAAGTAAGCTCTGTGCACCCAATGTGGGTCTCAAACTCATGGTCCACCGACTGAGCTAGCTAGACTTCCTGATGGTTAGCATTTTTTAGCAATAAAGTATTTTTTTATTTAAGGCATAGACATTGTTTTTTTTGACATAATGCTCCTGGGCGCTTATTGGACTACAGTAGAGGGTAGGCATAATTTTTTAAGTACTGGGAAACCAAGAAGTTTATTTGACTCACTTTATTGTGACATTCACTCTATTGCAGTGGTGAAACTGAACCCACAATATCTCCAAGGTAGGCTTGCACCTTGCCTGCGGTTCTCGTGCTCTCCACAGACCTATACGTGACAGAGGCCTGCCTCCTCCCAGCTGTGGTGCGGCCCCAGCGTTGATGGTGATCCCTTGGCTGGGAGCTGGGGCCTGGTGTGTCTTCAGGGCCGACCCTGCCTGAGCCAGCCTTCCTGGGGCCGGCCTGCTGCAGGGAGAGGGGCTCAAGCAGCACTGTGGGGGCTGCCTGGGCTCCTGCCTCTTGCCCCCTGCTGCTGCCCTCTCTGCCTCTGCCCTCATCGTGTCTCTCTAGATTGGTTTTGGACTTCATGTGCTTAGTGCATCTCAAGATGAGCTTCTCCTTCGGCTCTCCTCTTGTGATGGCTGAGCTGTCACCCAGGGCACAGTACTGGCTACCTGCCCACCTGTCCTTCCTGTTCGTGGCACACTTTCTACAGGCCTCTGGTTTCTTCATAGTTCCCTGTGTGTCCCTGTTTAAATGGAGAGGAAATGTTTGTCCTTTATGAACAAACAGTACAAGAGACAGACTCTGTAAGACCACTCCCTTAGTTATTCAGATTTATAAAATGAAATGTTCATTGTAATCAACCTGCCTTTTTATAGTATTGATAGACTTATCACCTGTGTATATTCTTACAGACTCAGGATCTTTCTGTTTTGGCTTATTCTGATTAGCTATACTTACTAATGGCTTTTTAGGGTTTACAGGGTCACAGCTTGGCTAGTGACAGCCGCTCCAGGCCAGCTTCCCCACCCTTTCCTCCTACCACAGACACTTGTGAGGGCCTCCTCATTTTTAGACATGGTGTTAACTGCTGTCCTGTGTTGTTTTTGTTTGCGTTTTTTTTTTGTTTTTTTTTTTTTTCCTGAGTTCTTTTCATGGGGACTACTATTAAAAGCAGTCTGGATGCTCCGGGTTCATTTTGTGGTGTTCTCCAACAATCTGGTGGTGGGTTGGCTCATGATGTCACTGCTAGAACACTTCAGAGTCAGAGCTGGGAAAGGCAATTTTCTTTGTGGTTGTGGGTGAACTTGTATATATTTCTGATTTAACTTTGAGACTGTCTAATCCTTTTTTTTCCCCCAAGATTTTATTTATTTATTTGAGAGGGAGAATGAGAGAGAGAGGTAGAGAGCTCGGGCAGGGCAGAGGGGCAGAGAGAGTGGGAGAGGGAGAAGCAGACTCCCCGCCGAGCAGGGAGCATGATGCGGGGCTCGATCCCAGGACCCTGGGATCATGACCCGAGCCGAAGGCAGACGCTTAACGACTGAGCCACCCAGGCGCCCTTGTCTAATCCTTTCTTAATGCCCACCTAAATTTTTACTATTTCTTCTCCCGTCTCTGTAGTATTTCTTTGTGTCTCATTGGCAACTGTTCTGTCATTGCTTTCTTCACAAATTACCAAATTGCTTTCTAGAAAACATGGGTTTCTTGGTGCCAGCCACAGTTAGAGAGGTGCCCTCTTTTATCCTGGCCTTGCCAGCATTTGGTGTTCCTGTGTGTTGTGAACATATTTAATCGTCATTACTTGTCTGTCTGTCCTCTAGCCTCTCCCGTAATTACAAGTGTCCAGTGCCATTGTCTTTGGATACCTTGCACATTTTCGTCTCTTGGTTCTTTGAGTTTTTTTGGTGCCTACCCTTTGTCCATTTCTTCACCTAAAGTCTTAATGGTGTATAAATTTGAATGAGTTCTTGTATATAAATGAATGCAGTCATATGTGATATAATTATTGTTAGCAGCTTATTGAGACATAATTTGTATACTGTACAGTTCACCTGTTTAAATAATTCAGTGGGTTTTAGTGTAGTCATAAGGTTATATAGCCATCATCACAATCTAGTTCCAGAGCGTTTTCAACACCCTAAAAAGAAACCCAAGACCCATTAGCAGACCCCTCACCCGCCAGCCCCTGATGACCATTCATCTGCTTTCTGTCTGTGGATCTGTCTCTTCTGGATATTTCATGGAAATGGAATCCCACAATATGTGGCCTTTTGTGTCTGGCCCTTTTGACTGAGCATAATGTTTTCCATGTTCATTTATGTTGTAGTGTGTATCAGTACTTCCTTTTAATGGCTGAATAATACTCAGTTTTTTGGCTAGACTATGTTTTGTTTATCCATTTATCCATTGGTGGACATCTGGGTTGTTTTCACCATTGGGTTGTTAGGTCTCATGCTGCTGTGAACATTCTTGTACAGGTTTCATGTGGACATAGATTTCAATTTCTCCTGGGTATACACCTAGGAGTGGAATTGCTTGCTTATATGGCGCCTGTTTCCTTTTGAGAAACTGCCAGACTGTCTGCCAAAACGGCTGCACTATTTTACATTCCCAGAGCAGTGGGTGAGGGTCCTGACTTCTCCACGTCCTCACCAACACTTGTTACTGTCTTTTTGATTCTAGCCACCCTTGTGGGTGTGAAGAGGAACCTCCTCGTGGCTTTGATGTGCATTTCCTTAATGACTAATGATGTTGGGCATCTCATCTTGTGCTTATTGGCCATTTATGTGTCTTTCTGGATAAATGTTTATTCAGATCCCTTGCCTGGTTTTTAAGTGTGTGTGTGTGTGTGTGTGTGTGTGTTTTAATTGAGTTGTAAGAGCTCTTTATGTCTTCTGCATACAAGTCCCTTAGCAGATACGTGATTTACACATACTTTCTTCCATTCCATGGGTTGTTTTTTCACTTTCTTGATGGTGCTTTTGAAGTGCAGAAGTTTTTAATTTTGGTATAGTTCCTTTGATCTGTGTTTTTTTTTTTTTCCTTGTTTGTGCTTTTGGTGTCATATCTAAGAAGCCATTGCCAAGGTCAGGAGGATTTACTCATAGATTTTCTTCTAAGAGTTTTATAGTTTTAGTTCTTACATGTAGATCTTTGGTACATTTGAACTAGGTTTTGTATATGATACAGGAAAGGCATTCGATTTCATTCTTTTTGTGTGTGGCTATGCATTTTTTGAAAAGAATGTCCCTACTCATTGAAGGGTCATGGTGCCCTTCTCAAGTATGAGTAGACTGTAGACATCTAGGCCTGTACTTCTTTTTTTTTTTTTTTTTAAAGATTTTACTTATTTATTTGACAGAGAGATAGTGAGAGCAGGAACACAAGCAGGGGAAGTGGGAGAGGGAGAAGCAGGCTTCCTGCCGAGCAGGGAGCCCAATGTGGGACTCGATCCCAGGACCCTGGGATCATGACCTGAGCTGAAGGCAGACGCTTAACGACTGAGCCGCCCAGGCACCCTCTAGGCCTGCACTTCTAAGCTGTATTCCATTCTTCTCTGCATCTGTCCTGTGCCAAGACCACCCTGTCTTGGTTACTGTAGCTTTGTAGTAAGCTTTGAAATCAGGTCGTGTGATAACGTAGTTGTTCAGCTTTGTTCTTTTCTGAGATTATTTGGCTTTTCTGTGTCCCATGTGAATTTTAGGATCAGCTCGTCAATTTCTGCAAAGAAGCCAGCTGGGATGTTAGTAGGGATTCCATTAAATAATTTTTTTTTAAATTTTATTTATTTTTGAGAGAGAGAGAACGACAGAGAGAGAGAGAATGAAAGGGGTGAGAGTCAGAGGGAGAAGCAGACTCCCTGCTAAGCAGGGAGCCCTATGTGGGACTCGATCCCGGGACTCCAGGATCATGACACGAGCCGAAGGCAGTCGCTTAATGACTGAGCCACCCAGGCGCCCCTTGAATAATTTTTAAAATTTGTTAAATTTTGAACTTAAGTAATTTAAAAACCTAACACTCTATCTGGTTTGGAGGTAACTTTGGTTGAAGTGAGCAGGTGGGCTCTAGATCAGGTAGTTTCCCAGTTGTTAAGCAGTTAGTCCACTGCTGTCTTTTTTGAGAAACTTGTTTATTTTTATCAACTGTAACTTTTTCTTTTTGAAATAGGCTCCGCACCCAGTGGGGAGCTCAACACCAGGCTTGAACTCATGACCCCGAGATCATGACCTGAGCTGAGCTCAAAGAGTCGGGCGCTCATCCGACGGAGCCACCCAGGCACCCTCAGCTGTAACTCTTATGTGTAGCTGACAGTTCCTGGAGTCTTCTTTCCATGAAATTCTACTTCATGCTCTAGGACTGTTAGGTTAAAATTCTATTTAGTTGTGGGATCCAGTCTTAAGTCAGTCTGTGTGTTCAAGCCCTTAGTACCTTCTGTGTGTCCAGCTTTGTATGAGGTGTGGGTAGGTGATTAGGCAAGGAGTTCTGGATGCGAACACCGTGGCCAAAGAGTTTGGACTGGCTTCCTCTGTGGGCTGGTGTTGGCTGCAGGTGGCATTGAGGTTGGGCAGTGATGGGAAGGCCAACTGGCTGTGGCAGGGGTGGTTGGAGATTCACTCAGTGCTGACGGAGGAGAGTGAGGGCAGATAGGAGCTGGATGGTGGGGTTGCTGGGCACATGGGACGAGGGGTGGGGGCTGGGATTTGAGCAGGGAAGGGACTTAGGAGAGAACAGTGGCCTGAACCCCGTGGCAGAATGTCAGATGGCTTGCCCTGTACTTGGTGTTAACACTTTAGTTCATACATTTAGGAAAAGTGAGCCACTCTGAGTCTTACCTCTTTTTCCTGTGTCCACCAGTATGACACTGTTCCAATTCAGTCCAGCGTGGTGTTATGTGCTTGCCCATCCCCATCAATGGTGAGGACCCAGACTGAGTCCGGCATAGCCCCTGGCATTCCCAGCGGTGGTAGCAGACAGGGCCCCACCATGGACAGCACCGCGGCTGAGGCCCGGCCGAGCACCAACTCACTGCAGCACACCACACAGCCGCCACCACAGCCTCGGAAGAAACGGCCTGAAGACTTCAAGTTTGGGAAAATTCTTGGTGAAGGCTCTTTTTCCACAGTGAGTACCTGCCGCTGCTCTTTCTTGAACGAGTGTATTTTCCTTGGGAAGGCTGTAGCTAGGGGACCCCGTTACCAGGGCGGTGTTCTTCCCCAGGCGAGGGTCTCAGGCCCCTCCAGGGTTCTACTCCGGTTTTGAGGGTGATTTGGGGCTGCCTACCACCAAGTAAATCACGTGGTTAAAATACCTAAGCCGTGACTTTGTAGATGAAAGCTTTAAAAGGCATCTATCTGTTGATCTTTCTGTTTGTTTTGGTTTGGTTTTTGATGCAGTTAATTTTTATTCTAACCAGTCATCAACAGATTCCATCTTGTGTCCTTGTGTCCCATTAGCAAGGTCTTAGGAAGCTTTTCTGTCCCTTCGTTTGGAAGTGTCAGTATCAATATCTCTTCAGAGCTTTTGGGAAACATTTAACAACCTTTACTATTTCTCTGTTATTTAAAACAATATATAAAACAGCACAGCCTTGACCCCTGCTAGAGGTGCAGCCCCAGACCTGCTGGCCTCCGAGTTCTCGTGGCCTCGGTTTCAGTCAGTACCTCTGTTTGCTACCTGAGTGAGTTGTGCCTGTCTTGTGGCATTTTTCCTTTTCCAGCAAAGAAATGAAGGTTCAGAGCAGCCCCTTTGCTGAGGTGGGAGCCCCACGTGGCTGTGATGGGGCCGGGGGCTTGCACAGGCTTGGGGGAGACCCAAGCACCAGCGTGCCCTGTGAATGGCCAGGGCCTTCTTGCCCAGCCTCTGGGAAGAAACCTTATGTGAAACATGTTTCCCTTTTCTCTTTTTACATTCATGAAATGTTGCAAAATAAAAAGAAGAACATGAAGTTTTATAGCTCACCCATATTCTCAACTTAGTTTTAATCAATGTTAACTTTTTGCTCCCCATATATATATATATATATATATTTTTTTTTTTTTTTTAAAGATTTTATTTATTTATTTATTTATTTGAGAGAGAGGGAGCATGAGTGTGTGTGCACAAACGGGGAGAGGCAGAGGGAGAAGCAGACTCCCGCTGAGCAGGGAGCCCAATGCAGGGCCCCATCCTAGGACCCCCCAGGTCATGACCTGAGCCAAAGGCAGATGCTTCACCAGCTGAGCTACCCAGGAGCCTCCCCTTACATTTTTAATTTAGATTTTTTATTGGCAGTTTCTGTTTAAATTATGAAAGACTTGTGCTCTTGTGATAAAAATCTTCAGCTATGAGGATAGTACCCAGTAGTTCTGGTCCTCACAGATCCTTTCAGAAAGAAGAAACTAGGGGCGCCTGGGTGGCTCAGTCGTTAAGCATCTGCCTTCGGCTCAGGTCATGATCCCAGGGTCCTGGGATTGAGCCCCCCATTGGACTCCCTGCTCAGCGGAAAGTCTGCTTCTCCCTCTCCCACCCCCCCTGCTTGTGTTCCCTCTCTTGCTATGTCTCTGTCTAAATAAATAAATAAAATCTTAAAAAAAAAGAAAGAAAGAAAGAAGAAACCATTTTGAAAAGAACCTGGGTGTTCTGCACATTTACTTAAAATAGTCCGGTAAGAGAAGTAGTGTTCTCTCCCTCCTCTGTTTTACCTCATGGACATTTATCCTGACTAGTAAATGAGGGCTTATTTGTGAAACTCCCCCTTGTCCGTGGGTCTGCACAGCGGGTGAAAGTAGGCACCACCCATTCTGGATGATGCCCTCCTAATGTTGAAAAGCCCCGGCTATAGTTCTTGTCACCCCTGTGCCTTTTGAACCCAGGTGCCAGGGAAAAGCACCATGAGTTGGAGGCTCCTTCCTGGCGCTGTGTGGCATCCTGCAGCTCTGGGTCTCAGGTTATATGTGCTACCCTCAGGTCTTTTTCATCACTCCTGAAATAGAGACCACTTAAAATTAGATTTCCAGGGGAGGGTGGAGGACAAACGGCCGTTCCCAGGCTGGGCAGGATCTGCACTTGGCCGAGCCTGGCCCTGGAGAGTGGGGAGGCCTGGCCTGCTGCTGCCTGGCCTCCTGGGGATGATCTTGACGTCCAGATTGGCTCTGCTGTTGGCCCCTGTGACGTGGAGGGATGCGTCATGCCTTGTTGCCTGGAAGAGGGATACTCCCTGCCCTGTGCCCATAAAGAAACCTGCATGTGAAATGTTGAATTCATACAACGGAAAGATTTCCTAAGTACCTCCTTCAGAAAGGATCCCATTAATTATTAGTACTTTCTTTTTTTTTTTTTTTAAGATTTTATTTTTTGACAGAGAGAGACACAGCGAGAGAGGGAACACAAGCAGGGGGAGTGGGAGAGGGAGAAGCAGGCTTCCCGCAGAGCAGGGATCCTGATGGAGGGCTCGATCCCAGGACCCTGGAATCATGACCTTAAGCAGACGCTTAACGACTGAGCCACCCAGGCACCCAATTATTAGTACTTTCTAATAGTTTTTTTCTTGCCCTTTCCTACTAGGTAGCTAGTACGTGCTTCTGTGAAAAAATGTTAATATTTCATAAACACATAACCTAGGGAGGGGTGTCTTTCCCCAGCCCCTCCCCATCACCTCCCAGTGCTTGAGAACAGTCCACATAAGTGTATTCCTCCAGAAAGATCTCTGAGATCTTTCCACTTGAGCACATATAATCCAGCCCCATTCTTCTTAATCACTGCAGTGCGTTTCACATGGTGCTTTCCCAGGATCACTTCTGGTGAGTCTCCTGGAGAATTCTGTAATGGGATGAACATGACCTGTGGCCTCCAGAGGTCCTCCCTGGAGGCCCAGGGATCCCCCAGGATTTGGGCAGGTTTCCATCTGCACTCGGGTCCTCAGGCTGTCCTTCCTGCACGTGTCTTAGGAGGGGCATCATCCGCCTCAGCTGGCTGTGGTAGGTGGGGGCTGCCTCAGCTCCCCAGCCAACTGGCCTCATCTGGCATGTGGAACTTGGTGCTCAATTGTGTCCAGGGGTTGCTCATGTAGAAATCTCTTTTCCATGTTGTGCTGTGCCCTGTTGGCTCTCTGTCCCCCCAGTAGAGTGTGAGTACAAGCCCTAGGTGTGCTACCGAGAAAGTCCACCAAGAGTGGGACTGCACCCCGGGCAGGAGGTGCGGCTGGTGGGAGGCGCTCTCTGTGAGCCCCACGGGCCTTCTTGTGCCCTTGATGGCAGGGACAGTGCTTAGTGTACCTGAGTGCAGCATCAACTGAAATGTATGGTCACAGTTATTTGAAAAAGCCCAAACTCAGGGTGGCTTTACAATGAACATATACTGAGAACATATTCTAAAAGTTATTTTTTGAAGGAATTCCCAGGACCCATCTGAGCTATTATTTGCTGTTTCTTTGTACTGTTTGTGAGGGTTATATTAGTCCAAGATGTTCCTGAATCTATACTTCACTGCACCATGGGAATGTAGCAGCTGATGGAGAACCTTCTGAAGGCAGTTGATTGATCTATGCATTTCCTGTTTATTGGAACACATTAATTTCATTATTAACATCCAGCCAAATTTGTTAGCACAGGACCAGTATATTTGAATGTAATTTCAAATATTTAAATGTAATTTCATGGTGGGGGCACGTTAGCCTGTGTGGTCAGCTGCAAGGTGAGAGTCGATGCCCGGGTTATACTGAGTGTTTTTTCTCTTCTCTTTCCCCCTTTTCTTCCCAAACCAGGTTGTCCTGGCCCGAGAACTGGCAACCTCAAGGGAATATGCTAGTAAGTACTAAGTCCAGGGGGCTGTGTGTCTGGGATGCAGGGTAGGTCATGTGTTGACACGTGGCTGCCATGCTGCCTAGCACCTGGAGGTTCTATGCTGATTTCAGGGGTGGGACGCTGGTGGTCTTAGAGACCACAGAGCTGGTGGGTAGGTTTTGTGAAAAACTTTAATTTGTATCAGTTACCTTTATGAGTTTTTTTTTTTTTTTTTTTTTTTTACCGTTATCAATCGTAGTAACTTGCTTTTCTCTTACTTTAAGTTAAAATTCTAGAGAAACGTCACATTATCAAAGAGAACAAGGTCCCGTATGTAACCAGAGAGAGAGACGTGATGTCACGCCTGGATCACCCGTTCTTTGTTAAACTTTACTTCACATTTCAGGATGATGAAAAGCTGTGTATCCTTTGAACAGTCAGAGCCTTCTGAAATCACACCGGTGACCCCATTCTGTTGAATCATGACCCCATTGTGTATTTTCACAAGTCGTTCCTTCCCTGGAAAGGACAAGGGTGGCATATTCTTTTTTTTTTTTTTTTTAAAGATTTTATTTATTTATTTGGCAAGAGAGGGAACACAAGCAGGGGGAGTGGGAGAGGGAGAAGCAGACCTTCTGCGGAGCAGGGAGCCCGATGCGGGGCTCCATCCCAGGACCCCGGGATCATGACCTGAGCTGAAGACAGACGCCCAACGACTGAGCCACCTAGGCGCCCCAAGGGTGGCATATTCTAAATACGAATGAATTCACATCACTTTGCTTTGGGAGCCCCTGGGATTGCTGATGTTCACTGAAGTAGAATGTTACTTCAAAAGAAATCATCACAAACCTTTTTTGAGGTTTTTTGTTCATAAGCATTGTATTTAAAGGATTATTATTATTTTAACTCCATGGTTGCTGGACATTTATTCAAAGGCATTCCCTTATTCCTCTAACTGGTATCCTTGGAATATCCATCAAGTGTCAAGTCCTCTGCTCAAAGCAGGGAAGTGAGGGAGGAAGAAGGATCTTGGGCATCCAGGGCCCCTCTCTGCCCTCTTTGGCCCAGGGGTATGGGATTTGGTTGGAAGGGACATCTTTACCAGGGTTAGCCCCCAAGTGAGAAGTCCAGGGAGCCACCCTCAGGAGCCCAAACTCTTTCCCACAGTACCCAGAACACTGTCCTCCCCAGGCCCTCCAGCCTCCCTCCCTTCTTCCTCCCCTCCGCCCTCCCCGTGGCCCCCGCCCCAGTGCTCTCTGCCTGTGGATAGCTCTGAGCACCCAGTGCCTCTGGCTCTCCAGCAAGGCTGTCACACCTCACTGATTGCTTCTTCTGCTCCCTGATTTCTCCACTAACCCCTGGAGCAATGTTTTTTCCCTTCTTTTACCTTTCCTTAGTGAGCAGGGCAGGCAGGGCACCATGGTGGCCAGGGTAGGCCACACTGTGTTGTCTAGCTTGTCCCAGGGCTTTCCCATCATGTGGCCTGGCTGTCCAGTTTCTCCTCACTCCACAGCCCTTTCCTGTAGTTTTTGCCAACCAGGACCTCCCCAGCCCCTCTGTGCCCCAGCAACTCTGTCCCCAGTCCCAGCAGATGCTCTTCTGGTTTCTGCTCCCCTGAGAGAGGTCAGCTGTCAAATGGAGTTGCCTCGGGGCTTGTTCAGGCCTAAACCTCAGTCTTGGCCTTCGTTCTTTCCCTTCAGCCCTCACGTGTCCTCAGCTTGCGCACCCGCAATGCTGGTCCCCGTAAGGGCTTGGTTTCCCCCTCCACCCCCTCTCCCCCAGGCTTTCCCTACCTCTCTCTACACAGATTCTTCTGGTTTAGAACTTTGCTCCATCGCGTTCCCCCTTCAGCACCATTTTCTGGCCTCGTCAACTGTCAGCCAAATGTATTCTTTTGCTTACTGAGAAGTTCTTGTTGAGTGCCAGGTCATGGGGATATGCTGGTGAAAAGGTGACCAAGGCTCAGCCCTCAGAGGGTCTGCATTCTGTGGAGTTAGACACACCCAGACCATTAGTGTCCGTGGAGTAGACTTGAGGGAGCAAGGGCAGTGAGGGCAGGTAAGAGGGTGAAGGGAGGTGCTGCTCTTGTAGCTTGGTGGTCTGCAGGGACGTGGACTTTGGCCAGAGACCTGGGTAGAGCTAGGGTTGGAGTGCTTCTGTGCTGGTGGAGTGAAAAGGCTGGGCAGGGACCAGCTTCTCCTCCCCTGGAGCATGGCAGCAATTACGGATTTTCTTCTGAGTGTGCAGGGAGCCCCGAGGGGCTGGAGCAGAGCAGCCGTTTGCTATGATAATGGCTGGTGCTGCACTGAAGGCTCTTGCAAGTGAGCCAGGCAAGGGCAGTGCAGTCAAGGTGGCTCCTGGGTGGGCCTTGGGGTCGGGGTGCACAGGGGTGCTGTGACTGAGTCGGGAGAGACCAGGCTGGAGGTGTGTGTGGCGTTGGCGTCTGGGGCATCTGTGGGCGCCGGCTGCTGCTGGGTGCTTGCTGGCAGAGCTCAGTGAGGAGTCAGGGTGGCATGCAAACTGAGGGCTGGCTGGCTGGCCGCTGGAGGGCACTCAGCAGGGAAGAGTTCCGAGGCCTGAGCCCGGGTCACCCCCACACAGAGACTGGCACGCAGGAGGCAGGGTGTTGCCGGTGAGCGGAGGACAAACCTCGGGGGCCGGGGGGGCCAGCTGGTTTCCAGTAGCGGGGTGCTTGGAGGCCAGGTCAGGTGCTGCGGACTGCTGGCCGAGTACCTAGGGCCTGGGTCTGCCCTGTGGAATGGCCCCTGTACAAGTTGTTCTGGGGTGGGAAGGGGATTTCAGGAGACAGTGGTGAGGGGGTCGGGGCAGCACACACAGTGGGTTCTGCCCAGTGGTCCCGCCTTCAGGGGGCAGCAGTAAAGTGATCTCATAGCTAGAGGCGTGTAGGGCAGAAAGGGGGCTCCTTGTTGGTTTGTTTAGGGGTTAGAGAATGTATGCTTCTGCCTGGCTTCTGCATCACCCCTGTCCCCGCCATTCTGCCGTCACTGCTTATGGCCCCGAGGACATTGAAGAGTCTTCTTCATGGCTGCTCAGTGTCTCACCTTTGGGGCCACCTTGACTGGCTGCTTATCATTGTGTGTCCCCTCTTGCAGCTTGGGGACAGGAGTAGTGCTCTAAGCCTTAGGAGGCTGTGCTCCAGTTCTGATCCTCCTTGGCTTTGTGACCTTGAGTCAGTTGCTTAACCTCTCCGGGCCAGGTTCTTCTGCCAAGCACAGGCATTGAGCTTACTGGGCTCTATCACAGGCTTGGTCTTCGCTCATCCTTCCAGGAATTCACCCACGTCATGGGAGAGAACGGCTTCCTCCTTGCTGCCCTGGGCCACTGGCTGTGCCAAGAGAGGGAGAAACGTTCTAGGATGTAAAGTGGACCCAGGAGGTGTGAGAGAGTACTTCTGGGCATGAGGAAGGTGTGTGGTTGGAGACAACACGGGCTTGGAGCCGGGACCCTCAACAGTTGTCATGTTCAGAACCTTTGGTCACCTTAGCTTCACAGCTGAGCGGAGAACTAGAAGTGTCCCTCACCCAGGAAACAGGAACTCAAGGAGTGGTCAGATAAGGGGCAAACCCCGTGAAGCTCAGGGAGGCGCTGTGCCTGTGCCGAGGCTGAGCCTCCTTAAGTCTACTGCAGGCTCCTAAGCTCTCCTCAGTGCTGAGGTTCATGGCTAGTCCAGGTGGGGCTGCTGGCCCAGCCAGTGCCAAGCTGCTGCTTTGGGGTCAGACAGGCCAGAATCTGCAGGCCGCTGGGGAGGTGTCCCCGGACACCAGCCTTCCCTGCAGAGAAGACAGAATAGGGCGAGCTGTGAAGGGGTCTGGCTGGGACCCCTTTCCTTCCCTGTGAGTAAGGTGTATTTTTTTGCTTCAGGTTCCTGTTGTCCTAGTTGGAAGGGCTTGGGTGGCCACAGGTGGGGCTGAATCAGAGACAGGTTTGGACAGCTTTGGTCGCTGGTCCCTTCCATCCTGGGCTTGTCCTCACTGGCCTGCAGCATCAGACTCTGTCCTCGGTGGGAGACCGCAGTGCCCTGGTGAACAGAAGCCAGATGGAAGACCTTGAGCACCGGCCACCCCTTCCTGCCCTCAGAGCCACTACCTAGGACAGTGAGGACTCCTGTCACTGTGTCCCTTGGCTGCTAGGGAGCTGTGAAGTACCTGTAGGTTTCCATTTATAGGTGCAGATGTTTGGTGCTTCCAAGAGGAAGCTGTCATATGGGATCTGTTATTGTTCCAGTCTGTAATCCTTTTGGGAAGGGAGAATACAAGCACATCACAGCACAGTGGTGTCCGAGGGAAAGATGCCTGTGTTCCTTGCGTCTCTCCCCAGCGGGTGGCCAATAGATAGACTCAAGAAGATAATAAAATGGTATTTGTCTTATAAGACTTGTTACTTTTTACTTGGACAGGAGCATGCATTTGAAAAACCTTTATATGAATTGACTCTTAGCACACCATGGAATGTAGTTGGTGCTCAGTAAATGCTGTCTGTCCACTGTGGTGCGGGTTTGGAGGCTGGATTAGGATGGAGGGTCCCCTTCCCCTTGCTAAGGCCTGCTAAGAGGCATATATGCCATGGGCTCTGGCCACTCTCTCTAGTGGCTTCCCTTCCTTGAGCCCTTGGGTGCCTTTGAGGATGGTGGGGTCCAGAAGGAGCAGTCAGGCCAAGGGGTGTGTGTCATTGTGTTCTTGGGGAGAAATCCATCCTGGGGCCCGGGCCTGGGGCTGGGGCCAGGGAGTCCTATCAGCCCTGGCGGCTGTGGGTTTGATCACGGCAGGGTCTGACCTGAAGAGGGACCACTATCTCAGGCCACGGGTACCTTTGGTTTTCATGAATTAAAAGTATTCCTATTGGGCTGTAAGGTTAGCTTAAAAAAATGACTTTTGTGCTCTTCCTTAACAATGCGATATTTAGACTTTGGTCTTAGTTATGCCAAAAATGGAGAACTCCTTAAATACATTCGCAAAATTGGCTCATTCGATGAGACGTGCACCCGGTTTTACACGGCCGAGATGGTGTCAGCTCTGGAGTACTTGCATGGCAAGGGCATCATTCACAGGTATCACACCAGCTGCCTGTGGCTTTGCTCCCCGGGCCTCGGGGTCAGCTCTGTGGGCTTTTCTGGAGGGGTGGGAGGCCTCCTTGTGAGAACTAAGGAGAAGTTGATGTCACCTGATGTTGAGACTCATGGGCCTCCCAATACCAGGTGAAGTTGGTGGCCGGTGGTGCTCTGGGCTGTCCCGACTTGTGCTTTTAGTCCCCGCCTTGTAGCTCGCGGGCGCGCTTCTTTCTGATCTCCGTTTCCGTAACTCTGATATTGTCAAATCGAAAGTGTTCGTATGAGCTCTTTTGTTATTGTTGCTGTTACGGATGTTTTTTTGTTTGTTTGTTTTTTTAAAGATTTTATTTATTTGAGACAGAGAGAATGAGAGAGAGAGAGCACATGAGAGGGGGGAGGGTCAGAGGCAGAAGCAGGCTCCCTGCCGAGCAGGGAGCCCGATGCGGGAGTCGATCCAGGGACTCCAGGATCATGACCTGAGCCGAAGGCAGTCGCTTAACCAACTGAGCCACCCAGGCGCCCTGTTACGGATGGTTTTTTATTGTGGTGAAATACACATAACAAAATTTAACATTTTAACCTTTTTTTCTGGTTTTATTGAGAAACAATGAACATTGATCACTGTATATGTCAAAGGTGTACAACATGATGGTGGTTGATTTATATATATTGTGAAATGATTATCTGACCACAATAAGTTTCAACGATCTTCCTTTTATGGGTTAAAAATGATGGCTTACACTTTAATAAAAAGTATATTGAAAATGACAGATGCATTTATGAAGTAATGTAGTTTGAATCTACTCATTAGATGCAGTTGGATATTTGTTCAGTGTGAACTTTCTATTTCTAGACTTGCATTCTTGGTTGTTAGTCCATAAAGATTGTAAGTATGTATGTATGTATGTATTTACTTATTTAAGATTATAAGTATTTAATCAGTTCATTTGTTTTCAGCAAAACTTAAGAGTAATAACATTGCTATTTAAATATTTCATCTCAAATGTACAAAATCTGCTTTCACAGGGACCTGAAACCAGAAAACATTTTGTTAAATGAAGACATGCACATCCAGATCACAGATTTCGGAACAGCAAAAGTACTATCCCCGGAGAGTAAACAAGGTGTGTGAGTGCCCTGTTTCATTGCTTAAGATCAAAAACAGCTTCTTAGAAATGTGTTCAATGGCATTATATTCGTTGTCAGTGACATGTTAGTCATACCTTTGCTGTTGTAAAGTAGACATTTAAGCTTTCACAGGGGCAGGCCCTGGCTTCCGTGGTGGCTCTGTCTGAAGGCCTGGGCAATTTGCACCTGGGCTGGAGGGAAGGTTCTTCTGGGCGGTTTGTGGTTGGTCTGCCAGCCCCTCTCTGCATGTTGGTGTCCCAGGTCCCTGTGAGCGCCTGGGAGTGTCCGCTACGGCTCAGCCTCCCCAGTCCTAGAAGATGCCAGGGTGCCACGTTTGTTCCTGGTCTTCTGTGCGGGAGCGTGGGGTCTGTGGAGTCAGCTCCCAGCCCTCCCGTGTTGGCACCGTGGGTTGTAACTGTGAGAGCACTGTCCCTATGTCCCAGTCCCCGCCATCTGCCTGTCTCCCCGTCCCCTGTGTGTAGTTGATCAGGCACGCCGATCATAGTGAAGTTCTGTGAAATTACAGAACAAGTGGGGGCTGACGTTTAATCTGCTGCTCAAGTGCACATTTATAATTACAAACCCTCCTAATCACTGTTCCCCTAGGGTAATTCCTGGTGTTGATTTGTGCATCATGGCCGCTCCATCACCTGAGGAGGAGTTGCTGACAGTAAAGTGGGCCAGAAGAGTCCCTTGGGGTGTCCTGGCTAGCCATTGGGGACCTTGAAAATGAACCTTGAGTCAGGACACGTGTCCCGAACAGAGCCACCCTGAGCCTGGCCCGCGAGGCTGGGCGTTGTGCTCGCCTCTGCCAGGGCTCGTGGGGACTCGTGAGAGAGAAGGACTGGGTTCAGATGGAAGCAACCACCTCGCTACAGCTGCCCTCCTGTGGAGAGGGGAGCTGTAAGCCCCATGAAGCAGTGGGAGAGCCTTCTAGCTCGGCCAGGCAGGCCTTGTCTGCCTCAGATTGAACTGAGGCCCCCTTAGTGAGCGGGTGCACGCAGGGCGGCTACCAGGCTCTGATACCTGGGGTCCCCTCCTCCCAGCTGCATCTGGCTGGGCCTCTGTGAATTCTTTTCCACAGGGTGCTTTATCTTTGCTTCCCAGGTGCTCTTGCAGCCCCGTGTTTTCACCCTCAGGATTATTGTGAAGATTCTGTTAGTTAGTGCCTTCCTGTTTGTGCAGACACTCATTGAATCACCAAGAACTGTGTCTTGGATTTGGGAACTTCTCTGAGAATCCTAGGGCACCACTCTGTGGAGCCAAAACAAAACTTGCAATCAAGGAAGACACTTTTATTTCTCAACAAATTTCAGTCCTGGTGCCACTCGCCTGCCTTTTGCAGCTCCCTTTCCCGCCTTCCCACCTTGGGGAAGTCTTTTGGGCACTTGTGAGATGCCCTGAAATCTTGATCTACTTGATTCATTCCTATCGCACAGTAACATTGTTTTTGTGGATACGGTGTAACCCATATCCATAAGCATTGTCCATGACCCAGGTGAACTGAACAGGAACTGCCATGGCCCCATTTTTGTCATCTCATGTGTGACTTCCTGTGGGGTCCCCCAGTCAGCCTCAGGAGCCATCCCCCTCGCGGTCTGCTCTGTCCGTTTTTCCTCTGCGCTCATTCCCTTTAGAATCTGATACTTGGCACAAGCTAGTCCTGTTGCCTTGTAGCCATTTAGAAAATAGAAGAATTTAAATGCATTAGTGAAATAAACCTGCGTTTCTTTGTTTCTAGAAGTAGAAGTCTAAAAGTCCTTAGACCGTGAACCAGGGAGAGCTGCTCGTATATAAGGATGAGTTGGCTGTTTTTTTCCTTCTTAGGGAAAGAGGGAAAAACATGTATAATTATGTGAGTGATTCACTTTAGTGACTTACTCTCACTTTCTGTTTGAAGTAGTTCAGATTCTTAGAATTTATTCTTGCATTAGCTTTTAACTTTGTACGTCGTACAGAGATGGTTTCCCGAAGACCTCTTAAGCTTGCAGAGAGCAAGCGTTGGTGGGAACATGACCCAGGCTCCTTAACTGTACTGTGCACATGAGCTTGTGTCACCCTCCTAGCAAGAGGCAGGTTGTCTATCTTCCCAGACCTCTGTCCCAGTGGGTCGTTCCTGGGTCTCTCTCACTGCTTTCTGTGGGGTCAGAGTGGCCCCATGGTTGTGAGGGGCAGGAATAGCAAACAGCAGGTAGCTGTTGAGGAGGGTGTGTGGGATTGATGAGGACTTCCTGGCTCAGAGGACTTGTGACTTCTAACCTAACCTAACAAGGGTCCCACAGACCTATCCGAGTGGGGGCAGCTTCATCATGCAGAGTAAGCCCCTTGTCTGTGGCTGTGTCACTGGCCTTTGCCTCTTTGTAAGAGGTTTGGGGAGCTCAGGAGGCCACAGAGGTTCAGACTTAGGGTTTGTGTCTAGAAACCTGTGTCTTGAGCTGTGTTGGCCTTTCTGGTGTGCATCCAGATGCGGAGGTTCCACTTACCAAACGGGGGGGCTGGTAGGTGTTAGGGGCAGGTGATGGGAGAGGGGTTGGGGGGAGGAGGCTGGAGAGCCGGTCACTTCTGTCACTCCCTCCAGCTGTACCTTCTGTAGATGGCCATCATCCCGACCCTCGGACCAGTATTGACCCCCTCTGGCTGTGCTGTGGACTCTGGACCCTGCCCCAGCGCCCCTGCCTCCGCCCCCCCCCCCCCCCCCCCCCCCAGCAAGGGCAGGACAGCTCCACCCAGCCCAGAAGCAGAGCTCACACGTTAGAGGAGAAAGTCCAGTTCCTGTACTTACGCCACCAGATACAGCTCTTTACATCGAGAAATGGTTTACTCTGGTCTTCTCAATCTTGGTGTTTGTTTAGTCATAGCTATGATAAATGCAGTTGTTTTTTTTGTTTGTTTGTTTAACAGAGAGTACTTGCTTTTTGTAAAATTCAAACCATGCATGTGACCTGATTTCCACCATCATCAATTTGTTTTCTCAGTAAATATTTTAGTATTTATCACTAAAATATAAAGTTTTTTAAAAAAAATATGACTACACAGGGCACCTGGGTGTCTCAGATGGTTAAGCATCTGCCTTCAGCTTGTGTCATGATCCCAGAGTCCTGGGATCGAGCCCCATATCAGGCTCCTGGCTCAGCGGGGACCTTGCTTCTCCCTCTCCCACTGCCTCTCCCCCCCGCCCCCATCCATTCTCTCTCTCTCTCTGTGTCTCAAATGAATAAATAAAATCTTAAAAAAAAAAAAAAGACTACAATAGCAAACCATCTTCATACATAAGAAACTAACAGTAATTCCTTTATATCCCAAAATACTGTGTTAAATTTCCAGTTGTCATAATTCTACATCATAATTTTTTTGGTGGTTATCTACTTGAATCAGGATTCAAATAAAGCTCCACATTGGGCTTAGCTCATTTGTTTCTTAAATTTCTTTTTCACTCTTTATTTTTTCCCTTGCAGTCTGCTGAAGAAACCAGGTCATTTGTCTTAGAGAGTTTCCTGGAGTTTCCTGATTGCACCTCTTTGGAGTCATGTAACAATGTTCCTGTCCCCTCTGTGCACTGGAAATGGGAAGTTAGATCTGGCCCCTTGATCACATGCACATTCAGTCCTCTCACACCAAAGGCTGGGGTGTGTTCTCCATTAGGACACTCATAACACTCCGTCATCTCTCTCTGTGATGTCAACAGCCCTTTATAACCATAATGGCCTAGATCCACTAATTCTCTAGAGAATGCAGAATGATCATAGCCTAACTCCTTCATTCATGGACTGGAGTTCTTTGAAGAAAAACTTCCCCATAGCAATTATTTGGTAACTATAGTGGTATTGACTAAGGAGGAAGAACAGAATAAATGCTTACTTTCCTTTCCCCTTCATTTGCCACTTGTGAAAACCTTCAACTGGTTCACTGTCCTCCTTCAGTATTGACCAGTTCATCAAAAACATGATTTACCCCTTTCTTGCACCATACGCAAAAGCTAACTCCGAAGTTAACTTGGCTAGACCAGAGATGTGAATGTAGAATGCAGAAACTGAACCTCTTGAAAGAAGTGTAGGTGTAAATCTCCATGACCTTGGGTTAGGCAGTGAGTGGTTTCTTAGATACGCCACCTAAAGCATGAGCAACAGAAGAAAAATAGACTGCATCCAGTTGGGAAAGTTTTGTGCTGTGTTACCGTTCAGAAAGTGAAATGGGAAAAAATATCTCCAAATCATATATCTTAAGGGACTTATACCCAGAATGTATAAAGAACTCGTAACTCAAGAAATAAAATGAAATAAAAATTTAAAAGTGGGCACAGGGTCTGAATAGATGTTTCTCCAAAGAAGACAGACAAATGGCCGGTAAACACATGAAAAAATGCTCGCAGGTCATTGGGGAAATGGCAGATCAAAAGCACACTGAGCTACTGCTTCTAGGACGCCTGTGATCAAAATGACAGACCGTGATGACAAGCCTTAGTAAGTGTGTCAAGGGACCGAAGCCCTCGTGTTCTGCAGGCGGGAATGTGAAATGGTGCAGTGGCTCTGGAAAGCAGGCTGGCAGCCCCTCCAAAGGTTAGCCATAGTTACCTTGTAACTCAGCAGTGGTATTTGCCAGGGCATACCCAAGAAAGTGGAAAACATGTTCACAGAAAAAAGGTGTACAGGAATGGTGAGAGCAGCTTTCTGTATGCTAGCTAGAACGTGGAGAAAACTCCAGTGTCCATCAGCTGATCATGCACATGGGACTTGTCATTTCTTTCAGAAATCTTTCTTAGTTTTCAATGTATAAGTTTTGTACTATTTTTAGTAAATCCCTAACTTTTATTTTTGAGGCTATTGTAAGTGGAATTGTTTTCCAAATTTCATTTTCAAATTACTCACTGCAACTATATAGAAATACATTTGATTTTTGTGTCCTGCGGCCTGGCAGAATTTGCTTCTTAGTTGTGATAGTTTTTTGTTTGTTTTTTTGTTTTTGGTTTGTTTTTTTTTAAAGATTTTATTTATTTATT